GAATATACCTTACACTATAATAGGAACCCTAATAAGATTTAAGGTATATTCCTCAATGAAAGGGTTTTGGAGTGTCTGGGACCCAGGCCAGCCACGTGCTTCCGATTCCCAGGTTACCGATCACTGACTCACCCTGAAGCCTAAATCCTGTGAGGATCCTCCGATAATGCCTTGCCCATAGGCTCCATTAGAGCTCCTTTTTGTGGTCTATATTTAGGATCCTAGAAGGTAATCCGGAAAGAAACTACTTCGGAGCCATAGGGTGTTGGAGTGAGCGGACTGAAAGTCGGGGCAAAGAGAAGCAGCGTGACAGGTGAATCGATGTAGAATCGGCTTTGGAGTATACGATATCATAAACGCATAGAGCGACTATAAGCACGGGGTACCAGTATCAAGTCTTCCTAGCATCCTTGTAGGAACATAACCCTAAACCCTAGACCCTAAACCCTGAACCCCTAAACCCTAAACCTCTAAACCCTAAACCCCCTAAAGAAACGAAACCCTACATCCCCAAATCCCAAAACCTGAAGCCTAAAACTTGAGCCCTGGAGCCTGAACTGCAACTCCCGGGCTCTAAACCTCACCTGGTCTTTTAAGACACCTACAGTACCTTACTATGACTTCCCCATATACATCCTTTAAAAAGGGTAGGTTCTTTGGGGTTCAATTCCACATACAAATCCTTAAAACAAGGGTAGGTTCTTTGGGGCTCAATTCCACACATAAATCCTTAAAACGGGTAGGTTACTTGGGGTTAAAGCAAAAACGCTGCACGCAAACTCACAAAGCCTCAACGCTGAGGGTCCTCCTCGGCGCGGCCTCCGGGCATCGTACATGCGAAGATCCAAAAGCAGCGACTGGACAGGGCTGTGGGAGAGAGTTTGAGGTTTTGGGGTTAGGGTTTAGGGATTAGGGTTTGAGGTTTAGAGTTTAAGGTTTTCCTTGTGGTTAGGGTTTGAGGTTTAAGGATGTTCAGGGTTTAGGGGTACCGCGGTTGGAGCT